TTTCAATTATGCGAAATACTTCCTTCTGCGTTAGTAGCAGTGTTGTTAAGTTTTTTTTCGTTGTGGTTCCCCGAACCAGGTGACAGTACACGTAATGTGTGTAGATCAGAGAGTAATACAAGAGCAACTTCACTCGCGTGGGAAACATAAAGCGAGTTTTTGATGTTATTCCTATGGCTTTGCAAACCTTCCGGTGGATATACTCAACGTGTTCAGTCCAAGAGAGTGATTCGGTAAGAATGACACCAAGAATTTTAACAGATTTTGCAATCTCTAAGGGAGATGAATTCATCGTGATATTTAAAAGCAACGGTGTTTTACGATTCCGTGGTCTAAACAGTATGCATTTAGTTTTGTCTGTGTTTATTTTTAGTCCATTGACTTGCGTCCATAAGTATAGGTTGTCAAGAACAACTGCCGCTGTACTTTCGATCTCAGAAGTTGTTTGACCTTTAATAAAAAGAGTGGTATCATCTGCATATGAAAATAATTTGACGTTTGGTGCGCATTGTTCGATATCATTTATAAACAATACAAACGACAGCGGCCCAAGTACACTCCCCTGGGGGACTCCAGTCACAATTATTTTGGTTGCTGAATTATAATTATTTATGCTAACAAACTGCTTACGATGTTCCAAATATGATTTAAAAAGTTTAAGTCCAATTCCTCGAATGCCATATTGACAAAAGGCTTTCTGTGCGCATTAGTGCACTTCGCGCTGGAACGACCAACCACCCTTGTCATGTAACAGGTGCAACGTGGGGCAGACAGGAATATGTCTGAATGAAAGATTACGAGAGCACTCATATTCGCTCGGAGCTACGGTTTGGGGGCTTTTGCCCGTTCATTGCAGAGAGTACAAGTGTCGGCCTGGGGACTTTGGCGGAGTCACCGTTCTTGGAACGCGCAAGGATAGGGTGACGAGAGAGATCATTGAGACCTTCCACATTTTGTGTCATGGTCATTCATGTGTTAGTGAACCGTGATTGGCGCTGTCAGCCAAAGAGATTTCCTTCCTGCGGAAAAACATGAGTCACATAGTGAACGGGTAGTGTATTGACACGCTTCGCGGTTGGCGAGAGTGGTCCTTTGTCTTTGTGCTATGTTTTAAAATACTGTGCATGTTTGTTTTCTGCCTTTGTTCCCTTTATTAAAATCCTTCAGTTGCGACTACAGCATTGTCCTGTCGTCTATGCTCTTCTTCGTAGTCCGTGTTTTCTGAGCTGTTTCTCCCATCATGCCTAACGTCAACCAAGTGGCCCAGTTCTCTACCTTATTACTAAAATTACTTCTTAATGTTAAAATCGATAGATTTCTTTTAAAACGAGTTCTGAGCAGGCTTCGTTGCCCATAACAGTCAATTCCTCTTCACACTGTAAACGGCTTAATTTTCGCGAGGCCCTACGTTTCTTGAATTTTGCGAATCGCCTACAATCCCTGAAAAATATGTCCCGCGAACAATTCCGGTAAAATGCAAACCTATTGGAATCTATATTGAAATCCCACCGCATCTCAAAAATTAGAAACCGCGAAATATTTCCAAATTTCAATTTTGACCTAAATCGCGAATTACTGAGCCCGCGAAAAATAAGTCGTTTACTGTATTTCAGTAGAAGCAAGATCACACCTGCTGGACACCTTTTGCTGATCTCGAAGTGAAGCGTCGTAATCTTAAAATGTGCTACCTTTGCAAGATTCAAGTGATTTTGATTTAGTCTCTGATTAGCGCGTTCTCAGTACGTTAGACCATTAAGAAGATATAACTTAAAAAGGTTCTTTCTCACATACCCAGCTGAGTCTCATATTTATTTAAAACACGAATATGTGGATTACGCTAATTGATTACCTGTCTGTTCTTTTTTGAACCTTAGGGATAAAATTCTTCTAAAATATGATCATATTTAAAAGTCGAAGGACACGTATTCTTTTTTCGTTTTTCACAGCGTCACTTTTTTGTCCTACTCTTCAGAGCGCACACATTTATGAAGATGACCAAGATGTACACGGATGTGTTCTAGTGCACACCTGGCGGAGCCATGTTCTTCGACGGACCACAATGGTTTTGAGTTACAGACGAAGTCAGGAGCCAGTCACAGTGGCACAAATTTGGCCAGAAAAATTGACTTCAGCAGCGCTGGCCTCTTTGCATCATTGCGGGATGTGATATAGACCTTTGTCCGGAAGTGCTCTTTTTAGCCTCGACCGCAAGGAGCAAAAGCGAACAATAATCTTGAACCCAGACGCTCATGGGGAGGGGGGGCTGCGTCGGCCTGCGCCGCCGCTTCCCGTTGAAGGCTTCTTCGCTGGTGTGCCGACTGCCGTTTCGCCGGCATCGGTCCTGTTTACCGCGGTATGTGAGTATAGTGCCCGTAATGGTGAGAGCCGTGTGTCCATACGCCACTTTGCCGCTGTTGGTTTCCATCTAGCCGAGCCAGAAAACATCTCGCGACGAGTTGACCGCGCCGCGAGTGACGAAGAAGAAGCAAACATGGCGACGGTTTGTGCGATTGCTTTGGTGGCTCCGGTGTTGAGTGTCTTCAACGTACTCGTGAGAAGGTTCCCCTGCCCTTCGAAGTTATTGCAAGCACCACGAAAGATGTGGAATCATCGTCTCAGCTACAAATAAGCAGGCCTTCAGGAGCAACAACGGTGCCAAGCAGGCGCTCGACACAGTTGTGTCAGGCTCACGCAGCCAGCGGCACAGTTGTGTTTGTTGTGTCGTCAGATGTTCAACAACGCCGAGGTATTTTCATTTATCATTTGGAATGGCTTCAAGAGTAAGAAATTAATCTATTTCGCGGATTGTTAACGCCGAGGCGAGTGCCCTCCGTTGCAGTGCCGTCGTCGCGCAAAGTGCAGAGAAAACCGGGTGGCGATTGCGGCGGTGCTCTTTGATCTTGCGCCGTCGGGTTCATGAAGTCCGGAGTAAACGTACGTACGTGCGTCTGCTGGATCGGTGTTTTGGACTTCCTCAAAACTCTTTCTCACGCGCATTTTCCTTGTGAAGCTTAGTAGCTCATTACACCTCATCGTCGACTGCGCTCATTTGACTACGACGGACGAGCCTGCGTGATGTGAATTTCACTGCCTAAGATCCTTGGTGTGCTGTAACGAGGGCTAATAAAATATCACCGCGAACTTCTGAACAAACGAGTCGAAGTTTCGTCTACTATCATAACTGATCGCCTGTCACAATATTAATCAGCAGCGTTCCTAGACTCCGCCCCCACAGGCACAGTGCTTCGTTGCCCGATAGAAAGTGCCTCCTGGTACCTCGTAGAATTCCAGTTCCCACTTCAAGTAAGTACCATTTTTTAGAAATGGCAATTAATAATTTCGAACCCAGACGCTCGGAGTGTGTGTGTGTGGGGGGGGGGGGGGGGGGGGGGCGTGCTAACATACTCGGAGCCCTCGTTTACGCCGCTTCGCAGCGGCAGACAAGGCGGCACATTACAAAAGAAAGCTAGTCCGAGCTGTCTATGTAACTGAACCCATTCGCTAGTCATTCGATGAAACGTCGTGGTCTCGTTTTCATTCGCTAAAACGGCGTTCGATCAAGTGAACGCCTCCCACTTATTTCGGCTCGGCAGAGCCGCGCTGCCGCAGAAAGGCAAGCAGATCGCGAAAATCGGTCTCAAACGTGCCACGAATGTAATGTCGTATACAAGAAGCCAACAATCAAGCATTTGAAAGCTACAAGAAAGCGGGAGCGAAATATTTACTACGCAATGAACCCGGACTGAGACGCGGATGTCAAGGGTCAGCAGACACCGAGAACATTTAAGACAAGAAAGGTTTTCTCTTTTTTTCTTGATCGAGATGGGTTCTCGAATGTTCACGACATCTTATCTGTTGAAGAACGGGCCGCGGAGGCTTCTGGTGAAGACATCTTTCACGATGTGCCGGTGCATTCGGACAGCCTGCCGCATCCAGCTCCCCAAAGCAACGCCGCCAACGCAGCCCCCCTCCTGCCTGCCAGTTCTCTCCGCGTGGTGGCGCGAGCGTAGATAAACATGGCGGCGCCCTGGAATTGGCGCGGACACTGGTCTATATCTGGCATTTACGTGCTTACGGTGTGTGATCGTGAATAAAGATAGTTTGATTTATTAGACTAAAAAAATCTGAACACATTACTACTTGCCAATAAAAGTGTATATTTCAATACCATTATCAACGTTGTTAACTTATCGCAAAATTTATTCATTTCGTAATGTACTTGACCGGGGTCTTCAACTTTATTTAATACAGGAAGAAAAACATATAGACAAGATTCAGAGACAATTTTCAAGCACACATTTCTTTCTTCCACTATTAAGAACTTTCTCTTGAAGAGTATCTCATACGAAACACACACGCCGCTGTTTCGTGAACTTTACACGTTTCCTCATCGTGGAAGTTCGCTCAAGAATTGTATTTCTATATTTTAATATTCATTCTCAAACGAAGCAAGGCGCGTTCGCACACTTCCGTTTGCTTATGACCGAGTTCTTGCCATCCCTTTCGAAGAAAGAACAGACTGGCATGCTGACGCCATCTATGAGGTGGTCCTGGAACTGCATTTCACTAGAGCGAAGTTTTCGCGGTATTCACGAGACCAAATGTACCCGTCCTATCAAGAAGAAGTGGTCGCTTACAGCATTGGCAAAAGGTTTTCAAGCCAAGAAGGAAAGATGCGCCAAAAAAGTGGGAAATATACGGAAACAATAAGGGACTCCACGGCCGTCTGATAGATGGCGCCAGTCTATTTTCTGGTCTCGAGAAATTTAAAGAAAAGATTTAAAGCTTTTTCTCGTAAGCACTCGCAAGTTTGTGCCCGGAACCTAAATCTGCAATACAAACGATTAAAATATTAAAACGAGCGTGTTGTAATCATGAGAACTTGAAATAGAAAGAACAAATGACACGGAGGACGTTCATGGGCAACCACATTCGTTTGGCAATAGAAAGTCTGTGTTGCCCATGCACTCCCTCCGTGTTTTTATTCTTTCCATTTTAAGTATTCTTTTTTTTTTCATTGGCGAATAACATATTCCAAGTTTTTTTGTTTTGTTTTTTCTTATTCAAGCGTTTATAGTATTACTAAAATTGTTCGATATTCTTTTGAAAAGTTTTCATTCCCAAGGGCCCCACAAGCCGTCGTTGTATTCTGGAAATCCAATGAGATCTAGCGGTTGATTTCCGGGCGGCACCATACCCTTCGCGTACTCCTCAATCTTCTCGGTGAGCTCCATAAGTTCCTGCGAAGAATAAAACCACAAGGTTTTATATTCAAAACATGTTTTCGACTGAAAGAATATTTTCTGTTTCGAGTCATGACAACACCATTACAATGCGTATTATTTTGGCATGTCACGTAGAGTAACACACAAATTGCTGTCGCATTTCTCGCTCATAAAAAACATTCGTTACATTTAGGATTCGGCGTTTTCGAAGTTTATTTTTTTTTCTCGAAATTGGGGGTATTTTTTTTTTTTCGGGGTTTAAGTTTTCACTACAGATTCGGTGTTTTTGTGTAAATTGGTTATGATTTAATCAATTCACACAAAAAAAACACCGAATCTATAGGAGAAAACTAAACCCCGAAAAAAGACGCCCCCAATTTTTAGAAGAAAAAAATAAACTCAACAAACGCAGAACCCTTTATACTTGAGAGTATCAGGTAAGGTCGTACATTGTTGGGAGAGGACCGCGCGGAACATAATTTACGACTCTCCGATAATTACATATACACAGCCAAAACTACATAACCAAGGAGATATTAATGATTTGGATTTAGTTAAAATATCCATACTTAAAGAACATTTCGTAAATGTTGGTGGATAATTTGTAGTTGCTTTTTATTTGTCTTTCAATATGACTTCCCCAAGCAGCACAGAGTTGGCCAGTCATCGGCCAATGGCTGGCAATGGTCCTTGGCCAAGTGGCCAGACAGTGGCCAGAGACTGGCCGGTGACTGGCCTTTATCTGGCCATTGGCCAATGGCCACTGGCCATCAGCCATCGGCCAAGCATTGACCATTGAATGGCCACTCTCTGGCCACCGGCCAAAAGACCATCGCCAGACATTGGCCATTGCTTGGCCAAAATCTGTGCTGCTTGGGTCACCACTCCTTTGTTATTATTTGCTTGGTATATATGTACTGAACTCCTTCTGTTTTTATGCCTACGGTTTTATGGCTTTGCTGTTATGCCTATGTAGGATGTTGAGGGCCTTGTCCAGCTGTATTTTTTACAAATGCGTTGCAAATAAAGCAAATATTATTATACAAAGTATTATCAGTGAAATCATGACATCTAAAACAATATGTATTGGTCCCTCTTATACTGTTACTTTATATAGTACGTGGGAATAAGGTCAATACTTTATAGTCGATTTCAGCTTAATCAAGAAAGTTTTGCGTCACACCGTGAAGTAGGAGAAGGTGGCATGAATATAAAAAATGATACATTGGCGAATCGATAATCTTAATATGGTGGCAATATATTAGTGAGATGACAATTTCAGAAGCCAATTATCATGGCAAGTTGGGGTTTACTGAAAGGGGCTCTGGTTAGGCATGACGCATATCTAGATTTGTAGCAATAGCTAAAAGAACTCACTTAAAAAAGAGATATAATGTTTCTAGGTTAGAGCATCTCCGTAATGAACTGCCTTTTTACAATTCCGTTGTTTATATCGTATATCGTCCATTTTTTGTACTTTCATATATAAACACTACACCGTCTCTGTGTTGCTTTGATTCCTCGCGCTTTAAATCCTCGCAAAAAAAAGTAATTTTAGGCTCATAGCTAAATGCAGAAAAAAGAACTAAGATTAATTTTTTTTTAACCAGGCCGACGAGACTCAAGAATAGTAAAATCTTATATTGTCACGAATGACAATTGATGAGGCGATAGAAACTGAAACAAACTAAACGTTTAATGAAGCGAACTTGTTTCCAAAACTAAAAGGAAACAGAAGATAAAGAATAGAGCGTCGCGGGCGTCGATGGCGGCATAACAGCAGGATCGAACACTGGAGCGAGACTGACTCCGCTCGCCCATGTAAAGTCCTCCTCTTGCGACGCCTATTCCTCTTCCCAAAAGCAATTGAAGGTTACCTTCCAAAAAAACGTCGCCGCATGTAGCTGCATCGGTCACGACGGGTACGACAACACTTGATCGCGGTGGCAGATTCACGTGGTCGGCAGCTACTCGGATCGCAGCTGACGCAGTTTGGGTTTTCTCTGAAGGCGGAACAGTCGTCTGCAGCGTCAATCTGTTTTCTCCAAGGTCGATCACGGCGTCGTATTCACACAGAAAGTCCATGCCAAGAACGTCTCTGGAACTGTCTCATACAACCACAAATTTCACAGGACACGTCTCGCCGTGAATTTCGTCACGAGCAGTGCGCATTCCGACAGGCATGATGAGGTGTCCTCCAGCGGTTCGTATCTGCGGTTTATCCCACGGCTTCGCGACTTTTTGAAGGAGGGGAGAGAGCCTCTTACTCAAGACTGAGTAGTCCTCTCCGGTGTCAACAAGTGCCGACGCGTCGTGGCCGTGGATAACAACGTTTAAGTTCTTGGGCACTGTTGCCGGAGCTTCGTTGCGAGGCATGGCGTCGCGAGAGTGGGAGCGCTCCGGCGTTCGTGGAGGCTCTTTACGTCGTCCGCCCATGGCAACTTCACCTCCGGGAGTTGCCGCGGGTAGTTTTCCCGGCGGGACAAGGGCGATAGGCTCTTACGACGGGGTCGGTGCCTCGGCGAAGCTGGACGTCGTTATGACGGCGACCGAGACCGGCGGTGAGGTGCAGGTGGGGTGACTGAGGTCGTCGAAGGTACTCTTCAGTCTCTTGTGGCCGCTCACAGTAGCGTGGGTGTGGGTCCTTTGGGTGGAAGCCGCGCAGCCCCATTTGCTGGTAGGGGCAACGGCGGTATATGTGGTCGGCTTCCCGCAGTGGTAGCACAACCGGCGTCGATCGGCCGTCCTCCACACGTCGGTTTTCCTCCGCGGGGGTTGCTCCGGGTGGACGCACTGAACTTGTCCTTCCTGGCGTCGAGTACACTGTGGCATCGGAGGGTCTCGTCGGAGTGGTGCCGTAACCTGGCGGTTAGCTTGCGGCGGTCGTCGGGCCATGGCGGCGCAGACCAGCGTCGGTTCTTCGGATGCGGCCACAGTGACAGGAACGCTCGCTGAACCTCGGGTCAAGCGACCTCGGCAGTGGAGATTGAGGCTGGGCGTTCAGCAGTCGGCTGAAGCTTCTTAAGCTCCACCCGGACGACGTCGCGAATAGGCTCACGAATGCCCGGAATGCCGTGGGCAAGCTAACAAGTGGACTGCGAAACCGCACTGACGCAGGGTAGCCTCTGGTAGTGGCTGGCTCCGGCAAGAAAGGCACGCTCCATGTTCGTGGATTCCTTGACGAAATCTTCGACGGTAGATGGGAGGTTGCGGAAAAGACCACCAAGATGTCATGGCTTACATCTCGCATCAAAATACGCAGCCAGTTTTCGGCGGTGGCTTGAGGGTCGACACGAGCGACCACGCACATAACATCCTCGACGAAACTGGTGATAGTCTCGTTTAACCCTGGGTCCTCATTCGAAGGAGGTCCTTAACCCTCTCCCGTCGGTATTGGGTGTTGAATGTCCGTCTCAGTGCATCCTTGCAGGTGGTCCATGAGATCAACGAAGTCTCCAGATTCTCCAGATTCTCGAACCAGTGCCTGGCCATTTCTTCGAGCGCAGATTGAAGATTCTGCAGGCGCCGTTCGTCCGTCCATCGGTTGTGCTGGGCCACTCGCTTGTACTGTTGGAGCCAGTGCTCGATGTCTTCATAAGGCTGACCATGGAAGGACGCGGGCGTACTAACTGCGACGGGTAGGACAACGACGGGTGGAGTGGTCATCGTCGCGGTCTTCTTTAGTTTCTGCGGCAGGGGTCCGAGTTCCGGAGGTTGGCCTTTGGTACGGCGGCTTGCCCAGGCGTCGGAGTCTTCTGCGAAGGGCAGCCTTCCGGGGCTGAGCACTTCACTCGGCCGGGATGTCTTCGTAGGTGTACGCTTCACAGGAATAGAAAGCGATACCCAGCACCCCCACCTAAAATTTCACGAATGACAATTGATGAGGCGACGAAAACTGTAACAAACTAAACGTTTAATGAGCCGAACTTGTGCCCAAAACAAAAAAACAACAACAGAAGGTAACAATAGACCGTCGCGGGCGTCGATAGCGGTGTAACAGCAGGATCGAACGCTGGGGCGAGACTGACTCCGCTCGCCATACGGGGTCCCTCATGTACCCTCGTGGGTTCCTGCAACATTCGGCGTAGAACTTTCGGTGCGTAAAACATTCGGAACTCGATCAGACGAGAATGTTCTCGAACTTACGAGAACGCCAAGTTGAAAGACTAAATAAGAGGACAGTCAGCTGACTGGAATCGAACTTAGACGTTCCACGTGACAGTCAAGCGCGGCATACACCCGGCCGCGCGCGCACTCGCTTGCCGACGCGCGTGGCAGTATCAACACTTTTTTATTACCTTTATTTCGACGCACCTTCTTTTTCTTTAACCATCATCAAGTGGAAAGAAAACTCATGATTCAAACTTTGCCATCACTTACCCATTTCTCACTCACCTAAACAGTTTGTACCATTAAGATGTATAATTTAAGATGACGGATTACTCTGAATAAGCAATGCATTTTTGTGGTGCCTAGTGCTGGTTATGTTCGGAAAGTGACCAGGATAGTAGAATTACTCGTTACTTAAACCGTAATAAGCAGGGGTTTTTCCAAGAATCGAAATTCGGAGGAGGAGGAGGGGTTTAAATGTTTAGGGGGGGGGGCATTGAGAATAGAGGAGTAGTTGTGAATTAAGGGGGCGCATTCAGAAAAAACAATGGGGGGTGTACACCGTATCCAGGGTGTGCACGTGAATAGGGAAATCACTGGTAAAAAGGGACGGAAAGACGACACATTTTTCTTACGTACCTGCATTTTTTATTTCCTGCGTTCGGTGAAATGCTACAATATCGCATGCTTCTAGTGTAACCTAAAGTGAACTAGAATATTTTATGTGCGTAATTTCTCGCAACAATTTCAATTCTAATGTGCGTATTTATTTGTTTTCAAATTTGGTGTAGGCCCTCGCTTGCAACGGCAGTGTTTCAATTCCGAGGTAAACATCTTTAGTTTGCGCACTCACCGTCACGTTGGAAGCCGCCAAGTTGTTCAGCTCGCATGGATCATGTTCAAGGTCAAAGTAGTATGGAGGGCTGGCAGCTACGAAGTTGTCACGGGGGGCATACTGGTCGCACCTCACGACGGTTTCATTGCGCCAGTTAGGCCTAACTGTGAGCTGGGCTACGTTGTAGAAATCTTTCAGCACTTCTCCAGTTTGAGAAGAAAGCATCATTTGGTCTAGACCATCCACGGGACGAGAGCCTCCAGGAGCCTTCGTGCGCTGGTCGTACATTCCTTCGTTGTACGATCCCAGGACTACCTTGTGTCGCCCGACAATCAGCGCCGAGGTGTTGTCCGTTGGATCAATATTAATGAGGACCTCTTGCCGAGGGGATTCCAGGTCTTCAGATAGGGCCTTCCACATGTCCTTGCCGTCGATGTTGCCAAGCTTTGACAAATTTCCTCCTGAAATGCGTCGAATAAAAATCAAGATTTACAGACAACTCTGGTTGCGTAGCAATCGGGTCGTCTGATGTTAATGATTAATATTTTTGATCTGTCTCCTGGTTCCACTCTCAAAAAGATGGCCACTTTCAAGTTAACTGAAGGGCACCTGTATTAACTTCTTAGCAACAAACGCCTATTACACGCCATCTATTATTTATTTTAACCACATATTTTGCAACTATTTTATCCCACTAAACTAATCGCAGTCAGGCTGTCAGAGGCTTTAGAGGCTCCTTTGTTATGAATATTTGTGATCCACGTGACCCGAATCTTAAAAGAAATGTCCTGGTATTTATAACAACGAGAAACGAGATAAAAGGTGTGGTTCCGAGGAAAAGAAAACTGGGGACTTGAGTTCCCGGTCAACACAAGAGAAGGACGTAGATAAAAATATTTTGCCCGTGCGGCTTGGACTTTTTTTGAACAAGGACACTTCCACACCAGGGTTTTTCGGTCTGTCCCGATTTAATGTGTAGTGTTTTACGTGCCGAAGCAAAGAGGGTGATCTACCTCTTCCCAGCGACGATAGGATTAATTTGGGCCACATGGGTATCCTTCAACGTGCAGTCGAAATCTCGGTTACAGGGCGCCTTCCCCGGAAGACGAGTGTGTTAGGGCACCACCACTCGGAGCGCGTGGAGCGAAAGCTCGCACTGCGCAAGACAGGAATCCTGAATTCAATCTATACCCCTGCCCAGTTTGATACGGATGATCATCGTTAAGGCGTGCGGTTGTGCATTACTACTGCGTGGTACATGTTAAAGAATTCAGGCTAGCGGGTGCAGTGCTTTGGCTAAACTTCTCATCTACGCTACGTAAAATTGTCGCCATACTCTATCAAGCTAAACTCCTGCTGACAAAACAAAAAACGACTAATTTGGGGGATCCATATTACCACCCAATGAAGCTGTTATGTCGAAACAAAAACCGCATGCTCTATCTCACCGGCTGCTGAATAGAAAGTTGGCAACCAGTCGGTGATGTGCATCAACTGATTGGACAGACGTCCAGACTTGGACAGCAGAGGACTCCAGACGAAGGCGGCTCCTCGGACGCCCCCTTCCCAGAGCGTGAACTTGGCGCCCCTCAGAGGCCAGTTGTAGCCGCTGTTGGACTGTACGCCCCATGGAAGAGCTCCATTATCCGTGCTGAATACAACGATGCTGTTACTCAGCATGCCCCGCTTGTTGAGTGCCTCCATCACCAGTCCAACGGATTTATCCAGCTCGTACACTGCACCTGATAACAGACGTGTGTTTAAATACACAAGGAATGACAATATAAAACCTTCCCATATTATCATGAAGATCACCTCCGGCATCATATGAAAATCGTTCAGCCGTTGCGCGGTAGCGTTAGTTTTCCTATATTTGTATCTTAAAAAGAACATTTCTGTCAATTTCTGGGTTTGAAAGTACTGCAAGCTCGCGAGTATAGTAGACGCTTTCAAAACCTCATCAAGCAACGCTGGCGGTCGCCGTTTTTGGCCACAAAGCGTCTGATTAGATCCGAGTCCTCGCCGAACGATGACGTCACCCTCGGGTTCAGTGCATGCTCAGAGTATGTGCCCAAGCAAATGTGGCGGGAAGCCGGGGGGGGGGGGGGGGGGGGGCTCAGATAATTGGTGCAGCAGCTACATTATTTGGCACACTTTTAAAAAGACATATTTCAGCAAACTGGGCGAATCGGTAGGATGCCAGAGTGAACAGAAGGGCGAACAAAAAGGCAAGAGCAGACAAAATTTGGAGGCTTATTGCATTAATAGCTTGGGGGACCGCTGCATTAGCCACCCATCAGTGACACTGCGTCAAACCGAAACCTTCTTCTTAGACTGGACTATGGGGCGAATATATCTTAATTAGGCGGTGTTGTGTCATGTGTTACACTCACTGGGACTGCGTGACTTTCAGCACGCTCTCTTCTCTTTCTTTTGGTGTATAAATTCAGTTGCGAGTCAGCGCCTGTGTATCCTGCATGTTCATCTTCTCTGTCCTTGTCTCTTTGTGCGCTGTTCCGTTCACTAGGTCTGTTTGACGATGGTCTCTATTCAACGTGAAACATCAGCTCTTCGGGCAACATGCAGAGCTTCTGTCTGAAAGTTACTTTATGCAATTGATAACCTAAACAAAAACAAGTCACCCCGATGAGATTCAAAGACACTGTAACGCCGTAAGTCGTTATCAATTATGTTTGGAGTTCTTCCGTCTGCCAATATTTTTGCGCTTAGTCCTCGGTTGGACATATTTCTGCTTCGGTTACTTGCAGTAATTCTGCAAGTTATCAAGTTGATTGCTTAGACTTGGATCGGCCATATCCCTTACTGCTTACGTGCATTAATACTGCAAATAACGTTCTTTAGTATGCATATAAGCGCAAGAGTAGAGCAGCTCAATGTCACATGCGTGCTGCGTTTTCTTTTAACATTCTTGCTTATATTAAATGTGATTCTTTCTTACTCCGATAAATAGAGTCATTATAGTTAGACAAGTATGAAAAAATATAAGCATTATTTTTTTTCCTTTTTTGTAAAAGAAATACAGAGAAACCGTTACAGGGCGTCGTTTAAGCGAAGATCTCAACGTCGGGCGACGCGATCATTTAGGCCTAAACATAATGTACATCGATATGTATAAGTCATCTTACATTTACCTGCAATTATTGATCTGTTCTGTTCCTTAATGTAGGGGAAATGTGCAATAGCCGATGCAGGTGCCTCTAGTTCCACCTTGAAGTCTCCAGAGTGCACTGCTTGATGACTGAAGTACAGGAACATTGGCTGTGGTTGGACAAACGAATGCATAATTTAGAGTGACTCATAATAAAGTAATGTTACGTAAACCCTCCTTAAAAGCCCCCCTTAAAAAGAAGTGTGCTTTTTGGTCGCAAATCTAAACGTCGAACACTAATTCTTCGCCAATATTGAGCACTAGCGGTCGGAACCGGACGCAATATTTTCAGAACTAAGAGATATCTCATTCAAAGGTCAAAGGCTATTTTCTAAAAATGTTAATGCAAAAATTTGGCCCGTCCTAGGTAAGTATCCCCCAATCAGCGCCGTATGTACAAGGACTCCGTCGCCGGCTATTGAAAAATGTTAAAAGTGACTCATAAACTTTTTAATAAGATAGTGGATATTTTTTAACGTTGGCGTATTTCGGACCCCTGCCCTGCATTTGGGCCGAGAATAAACGTTTGACGATGCCTAGTTCATTTTTATTGTTAAAAAAAGATACCTGTATTGTTTTTTCGAGCACACTGCACATATCCTGAATGTTCTAAAAAATTAAAAAAAAAACATGTTTTTTGGTTTGCGTAAATAAATTACGCATTGCAGAATGCTGAAACTCAGTGAGAGTGTCACACCAGCGGTGGCGCTAAAATTCCAGAGTTAAAGAACATGTTATCTGGATCAAAAAATACAAAAGACGAGATTTCCCGGACGTCCAACCGAAGCCTCATATTGTCTAAACAAATGGCTTGTGGTCGCGTGTAGCATTTATTTCAGTGGAAAAAGAAAACACTTTTAGCAAGGAACGAAAGAATCTTCTTTTGTTTGCTGTCGAGAGTTTGTTTTCTTCATATAAATTCCGTGTCTGTCCACAACGACCATTTCTGGCTTTGATAATATTAGGGTTATCTAGACGTCGGCTCGTAAAAACATTTTTCTGTCCCTTTTATTTTTTAATCCAATTAACGTCAAGTTCTTGAACATTCGCTTTTTATATCATCACCGCCAGAGTAACAGTCTCCCGGAGTTTGAGCTTTCTGCGATGCGTAAGTTTTTTTACGCTGCCCCCCCCCCCCCCCCCCCCCCCCCCCCCCCCCCCGATCAGGCTTTTTTTTCTTCATAAGCACACGGTAGTTCGATACGTATCCTTCATAGATAAAATTTAATTTACTCGATAGTATTGAAAAGCGGTATTTTTTGCGTTATAGTATATTTAAGTATGAGTACCTTTGCTTGATCGTGATCATTGATAAGAGCCAAGGCTTTTTTGGTGAATAGATCAGTCGAATAATGGTGCGACTGATTTCTCACTGGGGTCGTGCCATCCCAAAAGTCCAGACCGCTTGCGTTGGCCTGGTGAGGAATTGAGATATACACGATTAATAGGAAAGCATACGCTAACGATACATTCAAGACAAACACACTCAATAATAGACGTGTTCCGAAATTAAGTCTGGCAACCTGGATATCTGCCATCATCAGAGTGCATGATATATGTTGTTCTTTGGTGGCTGATGAAAGAAGGAATTGAAAACATGCCCCGATGTCACCGATGCGGATAACCTTTGGCAGCCTGGGACGTTAGACCACTATTTTTGTTTGTTCAATGTCAGCGTGAAGATACACATATATGCTTTTGTACGTCGTACATTTGAGGGTGTCATGTGAGTCCTTAAAATGTTCGCCTTCAGCACGCGCCAGAAAAGTCATAACATCAAGCAGGTGGACCAAGTATCGGCAGTGAACACGTTGAGTCAGCGTTTCTTTCAAACTTGTGTCTAATAAATAAGTTGGCGCACACTCGGCCCACAAGCCGCTTCATGTGGTGAATTTTGTAGAGTTTTACTCAGGTAGGTAAGAGTCTCGTAGGCGGTGGCAGGTTCTTGCCAACATCGAAACAGAAACGAATAGAAGAAGTATACGGCGAATATAATCATTTTCATACGTCTGTCGTTGACGTATGATCCGCCACTAGAATACGCAAGGTCGCATTAATTTATTCATTTTACTGCACATAATACATGGAGATATGTACACTAATCAGGGTACATAGCCAATCACTAGTCGTATATTCTTTTAAATAAATGCAATACGAATAGACAATTCAGTACATGCACAAAAGCTACAAAAAGAAAACAGGTTTTGTTTATAAAGGTTGATATACTATATCCTCACTATGTTATTTACGAACACAGTCCACGAGCATAATGATCTCCAACCGTTAATATAATCTGAAAGCACCCCCTGTGCACCTTCACAAAAATAGACGTCACACAACCCTAACACGCTAGACTCCATTTTATTTCGACGCCTATACAAGCATATATCCACTTTTCAAACATGCAACTACTTATCGAATACTTTTCCTCACTTTGAGTTTGCCGACGTAATAAAAAAAATATCTTATGGACGGTAACTTTACTGTGATAATCAAAAATTGAGACAGGAATCTCGTTCTATATTTTAACACTTGTGTGCTTTCAGCGCCCTTGGCCATAGTCATTGCGGGATATTGGTATTGAAACTTCACCATGCATTCATTCATTCATTCATTTCAGTCATTTGTTTATTTTCCATACTCATGAACAGCTTGACGCCTTGGTAATGATGCACAACAAAATGTTCACAGGTTAGTTACAAAAGTCTTAAAAGCTACGAAATCTGGGTTAAAAACATCAATATCTGCTCCCCCCCTGAGGGTATTGTAGAAGTGTTGAATACGGGTCACGGGACTGGTTTGAATGATGTGATTAACATGTAGCAAGGGTCAATATGGGAAGTAGAAAATATAGTCGAAGAAAAGGGAGCCTCGTTGCAAATTATTGTTAACTAATAGTGAGAACCGATATTTTCGTAGATTTCGGAAGGCATTATACTATAACAGGTAAACAAAGGTTCGGGTGGGGTACGAGGGGGCACGGAATTCATTCTCCTGAGGGCCCTCTTTCGTAACTTTATGACGGGTTCAATATAAGTTTTAAGAAAAACGCAATGACTCGACACAGTAAAAGGTGCGATTAAAAATAGTAAAATAGATAGTTCTTAATGTTTCCTTTTTAAAGTATCTCCGGGTTTTCGCTTAGACGAAGCATGAATATTAAAGTGTTTTTATTAACACGAAGAGTGTAATTGAGGTTTCCAATTAAATTTAAAATCTAATTCTACACCCAGATACGAGATTGTATTGACCAATTGAAGCTCATCACTACAAATACGTGAACGGCAAGAACGATCATCTATTTTTTTTGTGGAGAGATATAAAGAATATATTTATGTTTAGTAGATTTAAGAAGAGTCTATTAGATACAAACTATTTACTGATAGAGCTTAGTTTTCTGTTTAGGATGTTCTCCGCGCTTGCTTGGGATTTAAATGTAAATACTAGGACTGTGCCATCGGCGTACATGATGGAATAAGCTTTGTTTAAGCAATTTCATATGTCATTTACGTAAAGTGATAATAAAGTGGACCCCAGTACCGAATCCTGAGGAATCTCCATAAAGATTGGTCGTTGTTGAGAGGCATAATTTTGTATAACATAGGTTTGTTGGCGGTCGGCTATGAAACTTTTAAGAAACTCTAGTGATAAACCTGAAAATACATATCGCTCGAGCTCTGCTTAAAATGTCGCGGTCTACGCTGTCGAAGACTTTTTTTTTACTAAGAATACGACGATTCCTATATCATTATTTTTAAGAGCCTTATTGATAATTTAATACACAGAGAAATTTGCAGATACCGTATAGATCTCACTTTCTGGAAGACGTGTTGGCTAGCTGACATAATATTGATTTTATTAAAAGTGCCTAACGGGATTTGCAATTTTTTTTTTCATATAGCGTTTTAGTACAACTAAGTACGAAAATCAACCTATAATCCAGAGATTATTATGGTCGCCACTTTCGTAAATAGGGACTACTCTATAGTCAGTTACAGGTTAAGAAGGTAGCGGCAAATGCCCCCCAAAGGGAATCGGATATTCCTCCGCCACCTTTGCATCCAATAGCGTCCCACCGTTTCCGTGACGTCGCGGACAACGCACGAGGAGGGTCTTGCCTTTCTGTACATATTTGCTTTATCTTTCGACTTTGACTTAGCATTGTGGAAGCCACGAGAGGGAGATTAGAGTTCTCCCCCACCGACGGAAACAAATACGACTTTCGGGGATTAGCTTCCCCCCCGATGGATACAAAGGCTGCTTCAGGGGCTCGGTTCCCTCTCCGATGAATACAAAGGTCGCTTTCTTAAAAAGTGGGATCGGAGACAAGTGGGAATCCATTGAAGCGGAACCAGGAGCGTTTCCAGTGAACTCTTCTTTCGACTGCGGAGAGATTTGAAACGGGCGCATCACACTTGTGGGAGGAGCTTCTCCTACCTTCTTGACTTGTAACCGACTATAGCCACCTTTAAGGCGTTCGGGCATGTTGCCGACTGAATGCTATATCAAATAGCGAAGCCATTGTGGAGACCAGCATTTCGCCATTTTGTTGAATAAGCAACGCAGAAATACGGTCAATGCTAACAACTTTCCTAGAGTCAAGTAGCTTAGCGGTGGATAGAATTTCATGACTCGTTTTATTTATATACTCAAAAGTAAAATTGTTCCTTGAGGAAAGAACGAGATCATCTGTTAGTGACATGGTGGAAAGCAATTTGGTACCGACTGTGCAAAAATAATCGTTAAACAGATCACCTACGTGGGGTGTATTTGTTAAGTCACCCAACACCAGGAGTACCTTGTTATTTACAGCCGGCTCGATAATATAGTTTATTATATTCCACAGAGTATTTTAAGGTTATCGGCGCAGTTATTCATTAGATTAGTAGTTCCGTTTTTCTTCAGACGCATTAACGCTACGGCTTTATCCATATGTTTTCGAAACTGAGTGGATTACTATTCCTTCCGTATATAATTGCGATAGCCTCCTTTAGTTACTTCACCCGGTTTTCGCGTTACGGAGTCTGACCTCGCATGCGCCGCGCTTACGCAGGCGCCGCGCTTACGCAGGCGCCGCGCTTACGCAGGCGTCGCGCTTACGCAGGCGCCGCGCTTACGCAGGCGCCGCGCTAACGCAGGCGCCGCGCTTACGCAGGCGCCGCGCTTACGCAGGCGCCGCGCTTACGCAGGCGCCGCGCTAACGCAGGCGCCGCGCTTACGCAGGCGCCGCGCTTACACATGTGCCGCCCTTACGCAGGCGCCGCGCTTACGCAGGCGCCGCGCTTACGCATGCGCCGCGCTTACGCAGGCGCCGCGCTTACGCAGGCGCCGCGCTAACGCAGGCGCCGCGCTTACGCAGGCGCCGCGCTTACGCAGGCGCCGCGCTTACACATGTGCCGCGCTTACGCAGGCGCCGCGCTTACGCAGGCGCCGCGCTTACGCAGGCGCCGCGCTTACGCAGGCGCCGTGCTTACACATGTGCCGCGCTTACGCAGGCGCCGCGCTTACGCAGGCGCCGCGCTTACGCAGGCGCCGCGCTTACACATGTGCCGCGCTTACGCAGGCGCCGCGCTAACGCAGGCGCCGCGCTTACGCAGGCGCCGCGCTTACGCAGGCGCCGCGCTTACACATGTGCCGCGCTTACGCAGGCGCCGCGCTTACGCAGGCGCCGCGCTTACGCATGCGCCGCGCTTACGCAGGCGCCGCCCTAACGCAGGCGCCGCGCTTACGCAGGCGCCGCGCTTACGCAGGCGCCGCGCTTACGCAGGCGCCGCGCTTACGCAGGCGCCGCGTTTACGCAGGCGCCGCGCTAACGCAGGCGCCGCGCTTACGCAGGCGCCGCGCTTACACATGTGCCGCGCTTACGCAGGCGCCGCGCTTACGCAGGCGCCGCGCTTACGCAGGCGCCGCGCTTACGCAGGCGCCGCGCTTACGCAGGCGCCGCGCTTACGCAGGCGCCGTGCTTACGCAGGTGCCGCGCTTACGCAGGTGCCGCGCTTACGCAGGCGCCGCGCTTACGCAGGCGCCGCGCTTACGCAGGCGCCGCGCTTACGCAGGCGCCGCGCTAACGCAGGCGCCGCGCTAACGCAGGCGCCGCGCTTACGCAGCCGCCGCGCTTACGCAGGCGCCGCGCTTACGCAGGCGCCGCGCTTACGCAGGCGCCGCGCTTACGCAGGCGCCGCGCTTACACATGTGCCGCGCTTACGCAGGCGCCGCGCTTACGCAGGCGCCGCGCTAACGCAGGCGCCGCGCTTACGCAGGCACCGCGCTTACGCAGGCGCCGCGCTTACACATGTGCCGCGCTTACGCAGGCGCCGCGCTTACGCAGGCGCCGCGCTTACGCAGGCGCCGCGCTTACGCATGCGCCGCGCTTACGCAGGCGCCGCGCTTACGCAGGCGCCGCGCTAACGCAGGC